AAAACATGTCTAGTGTTAAGGAAAATAATCTTAAATTAAGCTTACAACATTGCCAACAGGAGAAACATTAGATTTATTTACTATATTTAAGATAATTGTACTTGACAAGATGCCATTTTTTGCAGTGCAATGTTTGTTGCTTCTCAAAAGCACTGCATCTTTGTGTTGCATCTTGGCTGTCAAAGTAAAACTCTATAATGAACTAGTGTAGGACAGATACATTATTTAAAGCCCACTAAAATTACCACAAGTGTACTGGTTTATCGGGTTGCCCAAGCTTCCTTTCAGGTAACAGCTCCAGTAAATCTTCATAACCCAACTTTACCTCTAAAAAGCTGGTTGACATACTGACACACTGTCTCCCCCATTTTTGCTTCTTTTCATTTTAGTTCTCCATTTCTTCCATTTCTGAAAACCTGATATGTGGCTTTGGCAGCATCTTCATTTCAAATAAAAACAACATTCTTGTGGGCCCCTGGAATCATCCTAATGTGTTAACTTATTTTCACTTAGACAATAACCAAAACATAATTTGGCCAGTGGTGCCCAAACTTTTGCACACTGACATATCTCAGGGAAATAACATAGGATGAAGTTTAAAATGCTGGTTAGTGGGAATTTTGAATGCATCTTGCACTATATTTTGGCCTCTTGATTGGCTTTAAACCCTTTAAAGGTGCAGTGTGAAAGATTTAGTGGCATCTAGAGGTGAAGGTGCAAATTGCATTCAACTGAATTCCCCTCCCTTACTCCTCCCTTTCTAAGTGTGTAGTAAAACCTATGATGGCCATCATGTTGTCGCTTCTTTGACAACGAGGATTCACCTCTCTTGCTTTTTCCTGTGCTAAATAATAAGTATGATCCTCCATTTGTCTAAATATGCGCCTTCAGACTCACAGTACAAAAAGGGATTAGGCAGCACCGGCAGCAACCACTGCTTCTTCTCTTTTCTGTGTCTTCCAACTGGCGCTGTAGTGCCACCAAATTCAAGCTGACACTTCAACGTAAAAACATGAAAGGCACTTTCTAGAACCAGTGTTTGGTTTGTCCATTCTGGGCTACTGTAGAAACATGGCGCAGCGACATGGCAGCTTCTACTGGAAGAGGACTCACTCCTTGTGTGTAGATATGAAGGGATCATCCTAAGCTAACAAAAACACAATGATTTATAGCTACAGGTGATTGTACACTATGAAAACATGGTTTTGTATACTACATTCCATTTCTGCTAATAGATCCCCCTAAATCTTACACATTGCACCTTTAAAAGTAAGTGTCATGGCCATATTTAAGGTGTTTCACCCCTTATAATCCCAAGCTTATTACATACAAAAGCCTATTATTCAGTAACTATGGGGACTTCAAAGCGAACTGGCTGGGCTATTCCTAGGTTATAGAAGCATATAATAAAACTTTTTTAGTTCTTAACCCATAATCCAGTCGAAAACCTTCCAACACTGGTACTTACTGCTGATTGGACCAGATGAATCAGGTTGTGTTGAGTTAGAGATCACTGAAGATTGTGCTTTTAAAATTGGCCATCAATATGATCAGTAAAGGCAGTGTTGATCTTTTTTTACAGCTCTGGAGCATTTCTTCTGCAGAGGTTTTTGGTAGTTGGTAATTGCTAATGTTACTAGCACATGTAGAGGCACAGTGGAATTTGTACTTATGTGTCTACACTGAACTACTTTATGAATGTGGTCATTTCTCTGAATAGGTGGATGATCTGGTCATCCACTGCTGAAGGAATGCACACACACAATTGTCATATTGCTAACTATGAGAGCATTAGCCTTGGTTAACAGGCACCTCCATTGTTTAGAGAGTTAACAATACAGCAGTGGAATCTGGAAAGAATTTGTACAATAACATGTCTTGTTATTTTGTACTAACAAATCAAAGAAATGCAGAAGGATGTGGTGACATTTGCTGCCTTTTTCGTTGGCGTGTGGCAGATGCAGCCAACTGGATTCACGCCACTCAGTTGCAAAGTGAAATTATTAGCAAATTAGCAGATCCAGATGGCACTGTTGAGCTCATGGATGCTTGGCTCATCAGTGGCTAATGTGACGAGGCCCTGGACAGCCTAGTTGAACTCGCAAGTCCACACCAGAGTTTGTTTTTTGTGAAATATCTTTTTCATTTGGTTTAGTTGGTTTCACACTGCAACAGTTAAAGTGCGCTAAATAATCCACATGGGTGTTCTTTACGTTGTTTGATTGGTCAGAGAATTGTCAGGCATACAAGCACTCTGTTACTTTCATGTTTGCCTCTATTATACAGCCCATTTTTTTAAAGGTCCAGATCTATCCCTCACTTATATTTTTGATCAAATGTATTATCATACCCTTTTTGTTGCATGAAAATTTGTGAGTTCAGACCATGACTTCAACATGGTGGTGGTAGTATGAGGGAAGACTGAATGATATAGGGAGGGGGAGATATCTGAGAACCTGGACTGGAGTTTTGGGCAGCTTCTGCCTGTAGCTAGAAGGCCAGGACCCCCATAACAGCATAGAGAGATAGGGTGGCGGTGGGGACTGCAAACACTTCGTCACGGGAACAGAAGATGAGGATGTGAATTTATAGGGTATTAGATTGGAAGAAGGAAGGGTTTCAGGCATGTTCCTCCCCACAAACTTCAGTTATAACATAACTACATTAAAGACGCCTAATGTTTAGCTACATTGCATTCAGAGTAACAAAAATAAACCTTATTCTACTTATCCGTCAGTCTCATTGCCACTGCCTGGCCCAGCCTGATCAGAAATACTTTTTGCAGTTTATGTGACAAAATCAAATGCTTCGTAAGAAGTACACGGACAGTTATGTGAACAGTGCAGTGCTGAGAAAGCATATTCTGGTGTTGAAGTCTCTCATTTAATGCGGACCATCATAAAAACGCAGTCCTAATAGGACTGAACTGAACTACCAGTCTCGGGAAGTGGACAGAGATCCGCAATTTTCGGCAGATCATGGTAGATGTATGTAATTTTCAGCGTATGAAAATGCATCAGTCTCAAGGTGGCAATTTAAATGCATTGACACTGGAATTATGTAATTAATTATAATAATATTCAATAAACTATGCCCTCATTGTTGACAAAAGTAAAATTCTCAGATCTAGTCTCAGCCTCAGATGCTCCACCCACACAGGTGAACACAAACATGGATACAATAGGAATTTTGTCAGTCATGGTCTGATTGGCTATGTGCACACACTTCTGTGCAACCTGACAGGAAACACACCGTTACCTGCTCTGCATGCTGTGATAACAAACAGTTTCAGTGCATGACATAATCTCTGACTTCATAAAAAGTTTATTGCATCTTTAAAAGTAATTTTTCTTTGAAAAATTTTGCAGCTTTTAATATCCTCATGTTCACCATCACGCATACCAATTTGTCTCTTACGGGTCTATTTTTGCTCTAGACTGATTTTTATGTGGCGCCTGCACCTCACCCATCACACAAAAACAACCGCATGTCCATCAGACGGCTCCTTCCTGTCAAACTAGATGGTTCTTCATCGCTTTAAATGATGAAACACACCAGACTGTACCACGATGGCTGACGAGACCATTTCCTATTTCTGAGACTCCTCCACTTTTTTCACTCTTTTAGATGTCCATGCTGATTGTTTTTAGCTAGGAAGCCACATTTGATTCTTAGCCAATAAAAGAGCTGCCAAAGTGGGTCGAGGTGTTTGCATTTCATTTTCCTTTATTTGATTTTCTTTTGCATCGTGATATCACATTCCCACATCCCTGGGTCTTCAGCTGAGGAGCAATTTCCATTCAAAATATACAATAAACACTTGAAAAGGAACCTCCAGAATTTTGCCAATATGCACTTACCTCTGATTTTTCAATTCCTCGTTGCGTAACTGCCGGCTCGATATGAACGCTACCTGGACGCGGTGAGAAGTATTACCTCTCTCCAAGGGAGCCCATTCTCTGCGCATTGCTCAGATAATGTGTTTCAGGCCAGTCTCTTTAGCTGTGGGCGAGCTTGTCTTCTATGCTTATTAAAGCTAGCCTGCTCTCCAGAGCTGAGGCCTAAATAAAAGAAGCAGAGTATAAGGCAAAAAAGAGAAGAAAAAAGAGAAAGTATATGGAGTAAAAGAAGAGGGAAAGTAAGGGAAAACATGAAGAGAAGGTGACTGGGAGAGGTAGAGAGGATAAATGATTGAGGATTAGCCCAGTTATTGACACAAAGTAAAACGTCCTCAAATATACTGTCACATGCTGCAGCTTTGCCTGTACGCTGTCTGCCTCAAATCGATTAACTAACAGTTCAGGAGACAGAGATTATAGTAGCATTAATCATTTCTACACAGGAGTCCGATGGCTTAATTGAAATTGACCTATTTATACTCCACCCACACCCATTCTTTTGTAGCACTAGCCTTATAAACCACTGACAAAAATCCCATTCACTTTTTGTTCCCGCCATGAAAAAGAGCTTAGGCCCTAATATGGGCACAATGCTAACTACAAAATGACTTCAGAGGTCTGTACTGAATGAGGGTCCGCATCTTGTATTTAATACTCACCTAAATTAACATTAGAGAACTGCACATGGATGTGAAATAATTGGCAAAGGCCAAACTAGGGCTAAACATCTGGCCAGAATTTTCCTGTGCTGTAAACCTTTAGATGTCATTTTGCTATTGCCTATGTATTAAATGCAATTACATCATCATTTTAAACTGGTTTGACTGGTTTAAAAATGAACAATAGTACATCACTTGGCTTAAAAGGGTATTAGCAGCCATCCTGAAGGCTGAATGTGTCCATTTTACACTATGCTAACTATCACTTTAAGGCCATTAGAATGGCAGCAAATGAAAAGAGAAAATACTGTTGTTAATGCTAACAGTTTAGTGAGTATATATACAGCTAAGCTAGCTATTTATATAACCATATATTTATAAGAACCATTAAATGGTGGTCGTTCAATTTGAAGAAATTTATGTTTTTTGTCTATGTCCACAGCTTTTTGCCATCTTTGCTTTCGCGACATGTGGAGGCTACTCTGGTCAGCTGCGGGTTAGTGTGGACTGTGTCAACAAGACTGACAGCAACCTCAGCATCAACATCAACTTCGCTTATCCGTTCAGGTAAGACTTGGCCAGCTGCACCGTAGCTCACCCCAACACACAGGAAATCTTTGACCGAATAATGCTCAGCCCACAAACGCATCCTTAGCAGTCTGGAACAACTGTTGCTAGTTTGAACAAGCTTTACAGAATGTTGAGCTAAAATCTCTTTCAACCTAATGAGAACCTGCAGCACACAGTTCAGTGTTTTGTCCAAATACCTAAATTCAGAGTAACGTAAGAGCACGGTATTCCATACACTTCAGTATTCCGTACACTTGAGTATTCCGTACACTTCAGTATTCCGTACACTTGCAACTTTTCCTGTTTGTGTAATAAAAACACTTTCTTGTCATTTGTCAACGGTACATCTGAGACATTGTCATATATCCTTGTTTCCATCAAATTGGTTGGCAAGACCATCTAAGCTGGGTTTGGACATCAAATCTGTGCAAATAGTGACCGACCCCCCAGCGGGACCTGAAAATGGCGGGTGGGGAAACCCAGGGATGCGAATGTAAATGGGGTGGGGAAAACTTTCACGGCAAGTTAAAATGCATTTTAGCACGTTTAAACATCATATTTAACGCTCTAACAAATATTAAAGAATGGATGGATTAACACTATGAAACACAGTATGTTTAATACTGAGCTGTTAATCTAAGTTTACACCGTCAGCTAAGTTACCTTAGCCAACTCCTTTCAGCTGAGTGGCTTCACACCACTGACTCACGTTACTAGGCTTTTTTTCCAAGGCAGCCTCATTCATTGCTCATATGGTTTATATTAATTCACTTTTATAATCAGTTCATGTCCATTTTTATGGAATTAGATTTCATAAAACTTCAAAATAAAATGCAAGGAAAACGCTGTATGGAAAACTGCTCCTTCTCTGGAAGCTGGTGTACGGAATACTGACGGTACAAACCGACGACACAGATGACGCTTTTTTCTCATTTCTTTAAAAGTATTGGCCCAAATATGACCAGTCAAAATGCATTCTGGTTGCTAGGCCAAACCAATCATTACATCCTGTGTGACTGGGTATTTCCACAAAAACTACTAAAACGCGAAAAGTGCCGAAGTACTGTACGGAATACAGCACTCTTACGTTAAATTTAGAATAAAAATTTCATCTGATATTTATGTTGTATGTATATGAAAGGCTACATTCTTAGGATAGATTGGGTGCGGTTAGGCTAAGCTAGGCTAAGCAGAAAGTTCACCATCATCAGCTGTGTTAGCATTGCTAGCTAGCTAACATTGTAGCCTACAGCACTAGATACAGCATGACTGATGTTACTCTAAGGGATTTTCTGACATTTCTCTCATCATTTTTGTATGATATATTAACTAATGTGGAACCCAAATGTCTGTAACTTTTAGTTCATTTTTATTGAGTAGAATTATCATGCTCATGTTTCATTTCTGCAAGAATTGTAGTGTGACTCTTATTTCATTTTTAAGTTTTGGTTGAAAACAGAAGGGATACAATCCTGAAATACTCAAAAGTGTCAAATCAGTGAGAGCATTTTAATGAGTCACTGTAAAACTGCAATATAGGAAAATATGTGAAAAAAATCTGTTAATGGTTGTAAATTCTCCGTATTCTGGGTAGCAGAATACGGAGAATTTACAATCTCTCTCACTCTGTCTCTCTCTCTTCCTCTGGGTGCGTTTGAATGCTGTCATTTTTTTGCTACTGCAAATGTGTGAATGTGCTTAAGTAAGCACAGCTTTCAGGCCGCTGGGGTTGATAATTGAGTTGAATGACTTGATTTCAGTGTCATGGCCTTATGTTCACTGACCTCTTTAATGAATACAAGTCAAACCATCTTCATGGCTCTGTCTAAACATTTCCTCTCTAATAAAAGGGCAAAAAACTCAGTTCTGAAACTCTAGTCTTTCTGTTTCAGTTCAGAGGCACTGCAGTGTTCCCAGAGATGGAGCAATGAACAGCCTTGCTTATTTCAAATGCATTTGTATCAGCTGAATAGTGCTGTCTGATGAACTGATAAACTGTAAGGAATCTTTCGTCAAGGCTGTCGTCTTCCACACCAGTTGCCTTATGAGAGATTTATGTAACAGCGTATTCTGTAACTTTAGGCTTTTGCAGACAAAAGCCTGCAACGATTCTGCAACCAGCTGGATTTAAACTACTTCACTCACTACCAATTTCACTGATGTCAGATAATAACCAGTATAATAGTAATCAGAACAGTAATAATCAGACCAGTAATGCTTTGAGGAATATAAGTATTATAATACATGTATTTTCAGTTTTCAATAGTTTTTTTCATGTGTTGAAAATGTCTTGATTCTACAGAACTCAAATTATTTAAGCCCTGCCCACTCCCCACCCACCTTACCTGGTATAATGCAGACAGATATCAAGTTTATTGCAAATATCAAGATAACTGACAGTGGTGTCCACGGAATATAGTCATGAGAGACTCTCAGAAGTGATGATGTATTAGTAATAACATTTTCAATTTTCTAGAGCAAACTGCCTGAACTCAGGGAGTCGTTCAGTTTGTCTGAACACCAGCATGGAAGGAAAGCTGCTGTTTACTCACCGTTCTGCTGCTTCAAAACCAGCTTATTTTCTTCATTATCAGAAAATGCTCCCAGACTTTCCAGATTCTTCTGACTTTCCAGATTGTTCTTTTTCTTTTGCTGTCTGCTCCCATGGGTACATCACTGTAAGTGAATTGCTTCCCTTTTCAGGTTAGGTTGTTTATTAAATCTAGGTTGAACATCACTTTAGAAATGTAAACACAAAATCGACTAATTAAATATTTGTTGACGACTTTTTGTTGTCGACATTTTCGATAGCGTCAAATAATTCTTTCAGCCCTAAAATGCTTTAGAAATTCAGTTGTGTCAAATACAACTGAACCAAATCCAAATGAGATGTCCTGTTATTATACTTTCACTGCTGTTTCAAAAACAAACCGTTCCTTCAGCACAACAGCTTAGAAGTCTGCATAACTTGTCCTTTCAGAGATAAGACTAGTTTTCCAGTGGAAAGAGTTTGAAAGACCTGTATAAAGTAGAATGTGTGTGGTTTTAAATTTACATTACATATTCATATTTCAGTGTTTATTCACAGAATTCAGCAGCTTCCCATTAGCTTCTATCATAAGCCTATTAGAGCTATGCCTTCAATTCAAGCCATATAAGTCAACACTTGGTCAAAACATGAGGAAAAACCCACCTCTGCAGCAATGCTAATTTCTACTAGCACCCCTATGGGATTCCAGTAGTTTGTTAGCGCTAAGCTAACAGCACGGACATTTTTTGGAAGTTCTAGATTAATCAGACATTTGAAGCTTCTAAAAGACCTTCCACATTTTACTTGAAACTTGTGAAAAAAATAAAAGCAAAATTGACCTCTTTCAGTAGAAACGCCTGGTATAGAGCTGTTAATGCTGTATCCCCTTTAAAACAACCCACTGATTAGGCTGTAGCTTGTATTTCCCAGTTAGTGATACATCTAGGACTTCCAGAAGGCTTTGAGTGACATTTTTTTTCTCATGAAATCGGTCCCACCCACTGGATATCAGACCATACTTGGTTGATTCCTCTGTCACTTTGTAATTATGCTGATGGTCGATAACACGTTAGGCCTTCTCTTCAGCTCCTGAATTCCTAACCAATAGGAGAGCTTGTTTAGCTAGATCCTTAATACCATGGAGAAAATCAATTCCTTGGCCAGTTTTCAGCTGAGCATGTCAAGAATTTAACCCTTTGTTTCCATACTTGCAGTGTTTAAGTACAAGTGGCATTCTATTGAATAAAAATGAACTAAAATGACAGACATAATTTTTAATTCCCAGAAATTATTAAGTCTTTTCCGAAGGCCTAGAAGACCCTGAAGGTTCCCCTAAGTTTTGAGTAAACAAGGTTTCTGTTCTTGGAAATGTGTCAAAATGTGTCAAAATTATTGTCCATAGTATTCAGCCATATGACATAGAAATGATAGATAGATATTAGGTTGAAAAAGACTGGCATATTTCTTTAACTTTGGTTTTAATAGGTTTAAATGGAGGGTAGGATTCATTTTTAGCTTTAGAATGAATATACTTTTTATGTTCTGAATATTGTAAGTCTGTTGATTTGTCTTCAGTTGTTCTTTGAACCGTTTGACATCGAACATACCTGTAAAAATGAGAAAATATGTCTGGATGCCCCTGAAGTCAAACGCTTACACACATACTCAAAAGGTGTGTCGAGGCTGGTAAAGGTCTTTGAAGCATCCCTCAGATCTCCACTTTTGCTTTCATAAGTGTCAAGCTCCCACTCCATGGATATCATACACGGATGAGCCAGAATTAGATGCCATTGTGAGATGGGGAAATTAATATCAGTGTGAAACTCTCATCTCCAGTGAGTAATATCACTGCAGGGCAGCGCAGAGGAGGGACAGGTGAGTTTGACGCTGGTTCAGGCTGTCTCCTCTCTTATCATACCTGCCAGTTCCCCTCAGGCACAGGCTGAACGCTTGTACCATCTGATATCAAGAGTCTTCCCTGACTTCTTGATTCTTTTATTCAATTCTGTCTCTGGTTTGCTGAAAGGGTTATTGATTGAGTCTTGACTCCCTCCACTAGGGAAGAATACAGTAGGTGGGATAGACTCTGCCGCTCTGTTCTGTTTGTAGGTCGTTTGACAGGTGAATTGATTCATTGCAACCAAGTACTAAAAATGCCAGCTGTCCATGACATTGTGTGAACAACTGATGACAAATGAACCAGTGGAAATTTAGAAAAACAAACCCATCCAAGTGTAATTTCATACATTGACAAATGCTAATGGTTTGGCAAGAAATTGACACAATTTTCTACTTACCCCCGATGTATTCAGTCAGTGGCCACATTTTGCTCCTTTAGATTCAGTGTTTGAGCTATGAGGCTAACGTTGCTAATGAACACTAGAAGTCAATAGTCACCCAAATTATTTCCATAAATACATACCCAAAACCTCTCTCAACCTGCTCAAACCGCATGAAGATCTTAAGTAAGGCCATGCAGATTTGTTTAGGATATAATATTGTTTAGGACTCAGTAAGCCCTAATGTGAATGCGGACAATTAAAAAAACACTTCACCTAGTAGCTGAATGCAGCAGACAGCAACATACATTCGCCGAATTCTGACTTCCATGTATGTTGGAATATTGAGCCAAACCAACAAAAATTATTGTACTGTCTAGTTATTTACAGACTGCTCTGTGTATGTATTACAGTGCATTTTAATAAATAAGCACCAAGTATCCTTTTAGCTAATCACATAGCCCACTTCAGGTTTCAGAATGTTCCTCATCTGTCAGTATATTTTCTGTTCTCGTGTTTCTGACAATTCCAGATTAGCGTTGCTGATCTTCTGACTAGGATTTTGTCAAGGAGTCTTATTTCAGTATATGCTGTTCCAGTGAGGTAGTGTTTTCTGAGGTAGTGCTGTGACTAGCTGACCCAATCACAATTAGCGAGACTAGCCTAGCTAGCAAACAATAACTAAAACACTCAGGCTACATAACTGAAACAAAATGCTACACAAATGCTAATGCTATGTTCCTCTCATGTTTCTGGCATTTCAGATTAGCGTTGCTGATCTTCTGACTAGGATTTTTTCAAGGGGTCTTATTTCAGTATATCGCTGCTGTCGGAAGAAAATCTTGTATCTGAAAACAATTTGAAAATACCTGTTACCCTTTACTTTGTGTATAAATTTCATAAAGAATGGACTAAAAGAAAGGTCCCAAAATGATCTAGTAAAAATTCTGGTTCCATTGACTTACATTAAAAGTAAAGTATGTTTTTTCCTTCTCCTGTAAAGTCACTATTTTGGAGATATGAGGTTTTCTTCTGACAACAGCGATATGCTATTCCAGTGAGGTAGTGTTTTCTGAGTTAGTGCTGTGACTAGCTGACCCAATCACAGTTAGCGAGACTAGCCTAGCTGGCAAACAGCAACTAAAACACTCAGGCTACATAACTGAAACAAAATGCTACACAAATGCTAATGCAATGTTCTGCTCATGTTTCTGGCATTTTAGATTAGCGTTGCTGATCTTCTGACTAGGATTTTGTCAAGGGGTCTTATTTCAGTATATGCTGTTCCAGTGAGGTAGTGTTTTCTGAGGTATTGCTGTGACTAGCTGACCCAGTCACAGTTAGCAAGACTAGCCTAGCTAGCAAACAGTAACTAAAACACTCAGACTACATAACTGAAACAAAATGCTACACAAATGCTAATGCTATGTTCCTGTCATGTTTCTGGCATTTCCAGGTAGCATTGCTGATGTTCTGACTAGGATTTTTTCAAGGGGTCTTATTTCAGTATATCGCTGCTGTCAGAAGAAAACCTTGTATCTGAAAACAATTTGAAAATACCTGTTACCCTTTACTTTGTGTATAAATTTCATAATGAATGGACTAAAAGAAAGGTCCCAAAATGATCTAGTAAAAATTCTGGTTCCATTGACTTACATTAAAAGTAAAGTATGTTTTTTCCTTCTCCTGTAAAGTTACCATTTTGGAGATATGAGGTTTTCTTCTGACAACAGCGATATGCTGTTCCAGTGAGGTAGTGTTTTCTGAGGTAGTGCTGTGACTAGCTGACCCAATCACAGTGAGCAAGACTAGCCTAGCTGGCAAACAGCAACTAAAACACTCAGGCTACATGACTGAAATAAAATGCTACACAAATACTAATGCTATGTTCTGCTCATGTTTCTGGCATTTCAGATTAGCGTTGCTGATCTTCTGAATAGGATTTTGTCAAGGGGACAAAGGGTCTTCCTTATTTCAGTATATGCTATTCCAGTGATGAAGGATTGTCTGAGGTAGTACTGTGACTAGCTGACCCAGTCACAGCTAGCAAGACTATAGCCTAGGTAACAAACAGCAACTAAAACACTCAGGCTACATGACTGAAACAAAATGCTACACAAATGCTAATGCTAAGTCTAAACATATAGAGTTAGTTAAAGATATATAGGTATAGTATAGTTTAGTTAGTTGAAATAGCTGTTGGTAGATAACATTTGCTTAGAGTGGAAAAGAATGTTTTTCTGTGGGGCTTTTGACATTTTACAGTACAGTAAGATTCTAAAGGGAGGTTGACCCTTTTCTGCCTGTGTTACTTGCATTTATAGCATGTCTTAGTTTTCAGTTTGTGAGTTGTGAGCATACAAGCATCCAAACACAACATATGCTGGTTTTGCTAGCGATAACCCTAATAACTTTCATTGCTGCTGACCAACATACAAGCAACCAGAACACATTGCTGGTTTTGGTGGTGACCTGCTGCTCTATACTGGTTTTTCTTGCAGATTGAACTAAAATATGTGAATCTTTAAAATGCCTTTGTGGTTTTAAAGTAAGTACACACAAATCCTAGTGGTTGGGGCTTTCCTGTATACCATTAGACTAGAGCTTGTCTAGAACTAGTCTTGTGCTCCATTTGAGGGGTGTCAGAAACCGGGAAAAACACACGTTTACCTGATTTGACATATAACACGACCTAACAGTGAATTCAGTGGTTAATGTGAAAAAATATACCTGATGTGCTTGTATCTAATCTATGTGTTTTTCTGGCATAGAAAAAGCAGTTAGTATCCTCTGGACCTCCATGCTTTCTTTTTCCATACAGTGGGTGTATCTTTGAATGAGCACCAGAACGAAGTGAAGTCGTTTTTATTCATTAAACATCTGGCATGAACAACCTTCCGATGAGCACCTGAAAGCAGCATTACTTGAGCCCTGACTCATTCCTTACTCATCCGTTCCAGGTTGAACCAGGTGTACTTTGACGTGCCCACATGTGAAGGCAGGAGCCAGGAGCGCCTCTTCCTGGTTGGAGATTTCTCTTCCTCCGCTGAGTTCTTCGTCACCATCGCCGTCTTCGCCTTCCTCTACTCTCTGCTGGCCACTGTGGTCTACATATTCTTTCAGAACACATACCGCGAGAACAACCGTGGACCTTTTATTGTAAGCACCAAACACCTTTAACCTACTTAACTTAGCTGTTCAGTATGTGTCCTGCTGTTAGTTAGGCCTATATATGAAAAGACAAAGAACATTCAAGAAAGTTTGTCAATGAAACTTAAGTTACAGCTAATACTTCTTAAAAAAGAGCAGTTGCTTAACACCGTTCATTGTTTTTTGTTGTTTGGTGATTGTTAGGTGGTTGCTAAGATATCCCAGGTGGTTGCAAAGGTGTTGCTAAGCTGTTGCTGTGGTATACCTGGTGGTTGCTAAAGTGTTGTTAGGCCATTGCTATGCTATCCCAGGTGGTTGCTAAGGTGTTGCCAGGCCATTGCTATGCTATCCCGACTGTTCATTTTGTCTTTAATTAGAATTGTATGGAGTTTTACAGACTGTGGGAATATTTGCAAACATCTGGCAGGTTTTAATAGCTCAGTCATTTTGAAAGAAATTATATGTTTATATAGTGAATAACACTAATAGCCAAAGATATGTTCTTGTGTGAGGTAACCAAATGATCTGCTTCAGATGGCAGACTTTTCTGACAAGCCAGTGCTCCAAATATGGATGCTTTGAATTTAAATTTTCCATATACAGACTGTATGGATTAAGGGGTGAATTGTATGTTTTGAAACTGTGTTAACAATGTTTAAATACTACAGAAATCTCTCTTAATTAAAAAATTATATCCATTATATGGATCCTTCAATGTACGTTATGAGCAGTTTTATGATTATATAGTTACATAACCTGATTGATGATGTCATGATATTTGCTACTGGGTGAAGACATGGCTATTCTAAGCTTTTTTTGCAAATGGTTTGTCTCATTTATGTGATATATGTGTCTGCTTGAACAGTAACGTCCCACGAGTCAAACAGAGACCCAGCAGTGTGACTAACATGATAAGTGACTGTACATTTAAATAATTTGCTCTAGTTCTGGGTTTCTGGTTGTGCAGAGACAGAGATCACTTGTAGTGAAAGTTCAGAAAGTGAGCCTGGCCTGTTCAGTCTAGTTGTACTGGTTCAATTCAAGCGTATTGCCCATATGCATATAAACAAGTGTACAGTATAATGCAGTTGGGTGCGAGGTGAACATTAAACGTGCAGCAAAATGTATCAACAAGGCCATTATAGATCATAAGAAAGACAGTGCAGTGTGCAACTCACTCTAACTCACTTTGAAATGAATGTTTTCAATAAAACGAAGCCAATTTAGTTGCAAATTGTTCTAATAACAGGTTTCAGTATGTGTAACACATTTTTTAATTTGGACAGTAATGCATTAAACACAATGTTTCATGTCCATGCAGGACTTCATAGTGACGGTGGTCTTCTCCTTCATGTGGCTGGTGAGTTCTTCTGCATGGGCGAAAGGTCTGTCAGACGTGAAGATGGCCACTGACCCAGACGAGGTGGTTCTGCTGATGTCTGCCTGTAAGGTGCAGACGAACAAGTGCGGCTCTGTGTACGGGCCCATCTGGTCAGGCCTCAACACTTCTGTGGTGTGTACTGTTATGAAGCATTTACTTTTTAATTGCTCTTGGGTTATAAACTTTTAGGAAAATTCACATGGCGCTTGAGGTTTGCAAATGTATATTTCAGTTTTATATTCTTAAAGTAAAGGTGCATTTTGCCTGGGATTAAAGTGATAGTTCATTAGAAAATCACATGTATGCAATTTTCCCCCTTACCCCAAATATAGCCGGTCAGTCAAGACATATTTGTTATCTGAAGTTTGATTTTTTTAGGTTTGAGAAAAAAATGGACACTAGTGCAGATAAAATTCATGCTTCAGAATGGCTGCTGCTACTTTTTAAAAGCTATTAAGTGTGTGTGTTTGTCCATTTATATACATACTAGTAGGCCTGTATCGTACAGTGTTGGAAAACATATAAACAAATCGTTTGCATAGATGCTAATTGGTGGGCTATAAGTTTTCATTACATCTTAGCAACATTAGCCTCATAGCTCCAAAACTGATTAATTGCTGAATTTAACATATTGGGGAAAAAAAAAAACGTGAAATGTGGCCTGTGCAACAGCACATATTTTGTTTTAGGTTTAATTTTTTTCCAATATGTTGAACTCAAATAAATAGAAATTTTAGCAGAAAAATTATATTTTAAGGTTAAGGTAGAGGATATGTTAACTTACTTTCACTTAGAAAATCAGCTCAATATATCATTTGACTGGGGGTGTTCAAACTGCAAATGAGTGTAAGGGTCATTTCGATATTTTGTATATGTGTTTATTTCTAGGTGTTCGGCTACCTGAACTTCGTTTTGTGGGCAGGAAACATCTGGTTCGTGTTTAAAGAGACTGGCTGGCACAAGGGCGGCGCTGCACGGTACCCATCATCCGCTCCAGAAAAACAGGCTGCTCCCTTCAACCAGCAATCCTACAACCAGGGCACATTCGACCAATCAGGAGGTGGCTTCAGCGGGACGGGAGACCTCGGCCAGTCAGAGTACAGCCAGGTGGGAACTTACACCTCAAGTGGGCCCACCTCCTACTGACCAGCCATGACTTTGTCTTCCAATCACATGTGACCTACGCTCTTAAAAATAAAGGTACTTGAAAGGGTTTATAGAGTGACGCCATAGAAGAACCACTTTTGATTCCCTAAAGAACCTTTCAGTGGATGGTTCCTTAAAGAACCAGTTTTGTGCAATGATGAACCATTTTAAAGTTTGAAAACCTCCATATAATGTGAAGGTTATATACCAGTTAAATGGTCCAAACCAAGAACCATTTAGGAAGCTTTATTTTTAAGAGTGTATTTGGATGGGGCAACAAATTGTAAAGGCAGACATCAGCATGCTGGAGGTCACAGGAGGGTGATGATGTTAACTGGTGTAACTTGGCAATCAAAACATTTATTTGTATTTCTAACAATATGAGGACAGTAAAGGGGTACAGAATAATGTTTGCTACTCAGTTTATTGCAGGGATACAAAGCATCTGCATATAGAAGTAAACTTCTTGTCTTTTCCACGCACAAAATGTCAATAATGTGACAGTTTTCCCAAATTAAAAAGTAAAAATGAAAAACAATCAGTATTGTTAATGTAATTCCTGATATTCCGAGAAGGATTTATGAATTGTAAATCCGAGAGTAAATTGAGTACAATTTGTTTTGTCTCTTTGTACGATTGCTTGTTAACTGTTTGTCGATTATCTGGATTTTCAATTCCCTGACTAATGTAATGCTTGTGTTTTTTCGTGAAGGGTGCTCCATTCTTTCTAACAGTCAGTATTTTCCAAACGGTTTGCACTGTGGTGTATGAAAAGAAAAAAAAAAGATCTGTAATCCGCGTTTCTATGCTGTAACTCTTTGGGTTTTATATGTTGTGTTGGCTAGGTGCATGAAGTTGTGCCGTCAAAGTTAATGTGCCTGTTTGTGCAGTTAATTTACATAAAGTGGGTAAAATTTTATTACCTTAAGGTAAAAAATGTTATATAATATAATAAAAGTCTATGAAAAAAGTTTGTATTAACCTGTACATTGAAAACTTGTATATAATGTTCTGAGAAAAAAATATTATGAACCATTCCTTTATGATTTTCATGACTTTTTTAAAGGAATATATTGTTATCAACCTAAGCTCTATCTTCCACAGCTGTAGCATATGGTCAGCAGCCAAAGACAATATGTTTGATTTATTTCCCTGTTCTCAGAAAAGAATGTAAATACGTTGACTTGAAACATGCTTATAACAGAAGACAAAGGGCACTTGTCGTCCGTGGTAACTGACCATATGCTACAGATGTGGCAGATAGAGATTAGATTTAAAAACACTGGAATATTCCTTTAATGTGGAATTCTACAGATTTTTCAAAATGTCTACACAATTCAGTGGTTGAAATGTAAACACCATCATTCAGAGTGGTTTGATGTGCAGCGGTGCTGTGTAGAGGGAACCAGGGGTCGCAATGCCTTTAACGCCAATATAGCCATTTTATTTACTATCCAAAACCACCAGTGAACCTACATGTCTGTTCTGAGTTTTCATATGTAATGTTGCTGATGGTAAAATAGTAGCAAGTCTGAAAAATCTAAAAATGAAAAAGTCTGAAAATGAGTACTATTTTGCTTTTCAATGCTCTGTATGCACCTCCAAATATAAAACAATGTCTCAGGTACATTTCACAAACTATGTTGCTCAGAAATGTGCAGGTATCTTTCCTCATTAATGGTGTCTTCACAGATTTGCAGGTTACCCATGCTATTGCCACTGATACCCACATATCATGAAAGACACTGGCTTTTGAACTTTATACTGGTAACAGTCAGGATAGTCCTTTACTTCTTAGGCCTGGAGAACACAACATCCATTATATTAATAAACAGTCTGAAAAGTTGACCACAAAACATATTTTCAGTGTGCATCAGTCCATTTCAGATGAGCTAGAGTTCAGAGAAGTCGGCGGTGTTTCTGGACGTTGTTGACATACGGCTAAATACCACTTCCAATTTTAGGCCATACTATGCACAGCAGAGTGCTATTTACTGGGTGGTATTTAAGTGGTATTTACTGACAGATTCGGTTTTCCCTATTAAAACCTTCAGAAAGTAATAGCAAATTGCCACTGTCCAAAAATGCATCAGGCAGCATATTCATAACCATTTTATGTTATAACTTTCTGTGAGGCAGCTTTTAGAAACAACTGTTTGGACATCTAGTTCCTATCACCACCAGCGTGAACAATTCTGACTTGGTTTCTCCTGAACGGAGCACTCTGAATGACTTTCTTTACATCTTACCATCTTAATCACGCATTAATTTTGAAAAATTGAAGGAATTCCTCTTAATGGACGTCTGTTTGGTCAACATTGCCAAGTTTGACTCTGACCTTCTTGTGTGTAGCTCTTGGAGAAAATGCTAAATGTCCATAGGTCATGCTTATAATTGTGTTTTTACTGCTATTTTACTGCCAATACAGGCTTTTTGCTTGCATGCATCGTTTCTGTTTTTATTCTCCGTTGCTTTGCCATCAGGGATCACAGCCTAGCGTGCTTTTTCTTGAAACTTTCCATCAACCTTGACCTCCTCTGCTCAGTATTCTCCTGCTTTTGTCCCGTTTCTACACATCGCTGTCACTGTTTGCTGTTTTAAGTGAATGTTGGTAATGTGGAGAAGAAAAAATAAAACTTTGTTACTGAAAAAAGCAAGCTTGCTAATATGATCATTACAAAGCATGAGGCTCGAAAAGGTAAACCAATGACAAATATTTCACCATGCATCAATGTAGGCTGCTTGCTCTGCTGTCTGTGTTACATTTTAACGTAAATGGGTTTTTGCTTTTTTATGTAAATCATCACTTGGTGTGAATGGTATTGCACATGCCAATAAAGACTGTGTACAGAGCTCTAGAGTCCATTAGTCATTCTCTTAATTCCCTTAAAGGAAAATTTGTGTCTGACGGATCTGTAGTGTATGGTGGATTCATCTGGCTGTGATCTCATAAGGAGAATACACGTCTGGGGACAACTTCTTAAACTACTGGGGCTGAATTGTTGCTGACAAAGATATGCCCCCTCTAAAACCCGCCCCAAATCCCTCTTGTCTGTGCCAGAGCACAATCAGCAGCACAAAACAAACTAGCTAAGAAAATGCTTTAATTAGCCAATGTTCATTCTTTGTCAGAATGAATGTTTCAGGAACACAGTTCGATTTAGTTTTCTCAGAGGTGTACCTGATGCACAGAATCAATTCCATAAAATCATTGCAAATGCTTTGTGTCTAGACAGTAACTCAGGTAAAGTTAAAGTTTAGTCTGAACTGTTTAACTGAACTGTTTTTCTTTGCAACAATTAATGTTTATTTCTACTGCCTATAATGAGTCCAGGTAGCATGGTGGTGCAGTGGGTAGCGCTGTTGCCTCCCAGTAAGAAGGGCCTGGGTTTGATTCCTTGGCTGGGCAACCAGGTTCTTTCTGTGTGGAGTTTGCATGTTCTCCCTGTGTCTGTGTGGGTTTTCTCTCAGAATTCAAAGACATGCTGTCAGGCTAATTAGAGATACTAAACTGCTGCCGAGTGTAAGTGTGCACCCTGTGATGAACTGGCGACCTGTCCAAGGTGTTTCCTGCCCTCTGCAGTGTGACCGCCAATAAAGGGATAGGCTCCAGCACTGCCCCCCATACCAAGGGGGATAAGCGGATTAGATAGTGTGTGTATAATGTATCCTCTGCACACAGTGTCATAACTACACTCTTATGGGCCACAGTGCAAAAACTATTACTGGGGCCCCTACATACAAAAATTACTTTCAATTAATAAAAGAATGCCCACATAAATAGTTTTACATAATATTTTCTCAGATTTGCAAACACTCTCAGAAAAAAAAAAAAGTTATGAAACTGTCACTGGGGCGGTCCCCTCAAGGGTACATCTCAGTACCTTTAGTCAGGGAACAAAATTGTACCATAATCCATTGAAATTATATATTCAGTCATTGACTCCCCACACCCCGTCTCATCTCCAGACTTTTAATTTCGCTGTTCTGTTTTAAAATATTAGGTTATGAGAAGGTATGGATATGTGTACTTTAAAACCACTGTTGTACCTTTGAGGGTACATTTACATTGTTTGTACCTTGATGAACAAAAAAAGTTCCTTCATAGAACCTTTATTTCTGATAGTGTAGTAGTGTATATATTAGCATATTGTTGTTTATTTACAATATATTGATTCCAGCCTTTTAAACTCTATGTCTGTATCATGATACCAAATAGCCTACATATATAATACCCATTCATACAGGATGACAGTCCCATAAGAAGTTTAAGCCTTAATAAAACAGGATTAGTTTTACATGTGGAGGTGGTGTAATACCATTTTTACTGGAATTTCTCAGTATTTTCGTGATGTTTTTTACCGACTGAACGCTCCATTAAAGGTTTCTGCACCTTTTATCTTCTATGAAAAGAATTGTAGGAATAACTACAAGTCATATTAATACTGTGCGAATGTTGGTCAAAACAATATCATATCCTGTGGAAAAAGAGTTTCTTTCATATGAAGGCACTCAGGAATCGTTTAATTTATTTTCTATGGCAAAAGTCAAGCTAGTACTGTCCTACCTCAAAGGTCCTACCTCAAACTCAGAACATTAAAAATTACAGAAAGATGTCTGATTTTATGCAGTGGTGTTGACTCCTGGCTGTGACCTCCCAAGCTAATGACAGGATACATTCACTGAAGACAGCGAGACACATGATTAGGGTAATGAAATATCAGCTAAATAAAATGTTTTAACATGTTTTTATGTCATTTATACTGAGATTTCTTATCCTGTATGAATTGGTCACCGTGGCGTGCGCCCGTCCACCCAACTCGGAGCTCGGGCCCCGCCTTCCTGCCGGCTTTGGCATTACATTACAGACATCCTTTGGTTAAATTACATTACCCCACCTCCCTGTGGAAAACTAATCCTGTCTCAATACTGTTTCGGTGTAAATAATGCTCCATATGTTAGCTCACAGTAACCGGCCCAAAATGCTACCAGCCCACTGGGAATTCTCCTGACTCTCCCAATTGCCCACTCTGGCATTGCTTTAAATGCCCTGCTGAAAAAAAAAAAAAAAACAGCAAGCATTTCATGCTGGTCTGTGCTGGTCTGGTTCTGGTTTAGCTGGTCAACTCAGCATGGCCTTGCTGGTTGATCAGCATACCAGCATCAAAACATAACACATGCTGGTTTTGCTGGGGAAAAGCCATGCTGGTCTATGCTGGTTTTCCTAGCTGGGCGTACAGCTTTTTTGTTCTGATTCAGAACTCTCCACAGCCTGAGACTTCAGTTCTCTGGCAAAATATTACACCTCTGCAAAGAAGGTCGATACCAGTACCCTGGGCAGCTATTGAATTTTATGCCTTATTGTGTCCAGCTGCTTTTTCTCGCTCACTCGATTCATCTATTCATGTATTCATGTATTTGTGTCTGTAAGCATAGATTCTAATATATAGGGTGTTGTGATACACCTCCACACACTGACTCTGCTCTACTCTTTCCCTTGACAAAGGAAGACACTTTTACAGCATATAGGAAAAAACATCACTGTTCAACAGTTCAGCTTTAACACAGCTTCTCCTGCTCTTTAGGCATCAGTTGTTGTTGGTTGTTGAGTGTAGCACAGGGTTTGAACAGTGAGAGAATTTATTAGGCTCTGAAACTGTCATCATGACCTGCCTAAGCAGTCCTAACTAGTCAATTAAGGCCTTATTAAGGCTTGAGACTTTTCAACAGGATGGGTTTGCACATTTTTGCCCCCTGCAAAAAAATTATTATTATTTTTTTTTATCTTTAAATTAATCAAATATAAACTTCAAAAATTAACTCAATATGTAAATGGGTCATTCTCTATTTGGAGTTGGAAACCATGTCACAAAGGTTTCAGGGCTTAAAAAGATGCTTAAAATATTAGGCACGGCTCCAAAAGTCGGTAACACTTTTCCTTTATGATTTCTCTGATTTTTTAAAATTTATCCTGTTTCATAGTCGCTCTACATCTGTAAAACAGCTCATCACAAAACCAATGTTCAACATTTGGGAAACCATTTTAATATAAAACAATTTTTTAAGAGGTTTAACTTAGGAATTTGTATAAAACAGATTCATTTTTACTTTTTATATCTTTAACGTTACACTACACTTAAAAATATATATATTTTATTTTAAAATTTATTTAAAAATGTCAGAGATTTTGGTCGCTGGTTTTATCAGGACTCTTATGTTACGTTTTATTATTTAGTATTTTCAACCCTATTAAACTGCTTCTTTGGGTCGAGGCTCATCAGAGAGGAAGCATCTCAAGGCATGCGGAGGCGAGTCCATACTTTCTCACTATATTTCATTAATTTATTAATAATTTTGTTTATCAGGCAGCTCATAACTTCTGTGTGTCACCGGTGTTATTTGCTTTAATGGCTGGGTAATTAAAATGTTGTCAAAATAATGCCTGATATCATTTTTATTACTGATTTTGAATAGTTGCACAAGGTCATTTGATGACCAATGAGTCAGCCAGTTCACAAAATCCTCGGTTTGAAAATGTCAGAATGTCACTGGAGTCACAGTCACTGGTGTTACACCATATTCATATAACACCAATGACATGTAAAATATTTTTGAAATTAAGCTCTTCATTTTGCATATGTGATAACAGGAGGTGTTATGGACATTAAGATTGTTTAGTTTTGGGATGAAAAAAATGATTTTTTAAAAATGTATCCACCTGAATTCCCAATCCAAATGGGGAATGACCCAAATAGGCCAGGGGTGCTCAAACTTTGCAAAAAAAAGTACGTCAATGAACAAACCCCTCTAGAGGTAAAGTGGACGAGAAGCAGCAAAAACACTAAAATGTGCAAATACGTGCTTCAGGACCAGGGCTGGGAACCACTGTAGTGGACAGATCTTGGGTCAGTGTTTTTTCCATTCAGAGACACATGTTCCTCAGCTGTCAGTGCGAATAGGACAGGTGGACCGGATGGCCAGGCGATGCTCTGACCCGACCTCACAGGCAGCTGGCTGGGCCCGAGTCCCGACCTAATGTTCCTGAGACAGCACGCCGTCCCGACTTCTTTTCGAGCACACCTCGGTGCTGTTACCATAGCGATGGGGGAGAGATGTGTCACAGCAAGCTGCTCTAGCTGCTCTCTCTCGGGGAGCCGAGCACAGAGCACTCGCTTTCAGACAGCCAGAGTGAGAGGAGCCGGTCGCTGCATTGTGTAGAGAAAGAAAAGAACTCAGACAGAGAGACAGCGAGAGTGAGAGAGAAAGAGATGGACAGGGAGAGAGACAAAAAGAGCGAAAGCAGGAGTAAGTGAGGCTGCAACGTTTTTCTAACCTTAGGACCTAGTCATGGAAAACTACATCAGCAAGACCACAGAGTAGCTGTACTGTGGCCTGCAGGCAAGATCTCTAGTTGACACCCCTATGACAGAGTGTGAGCTGCTGTTGTCGTAGCCAATCACAATTCACATTTTTTTCTTTATTTAAGATTATTTTCACACAGTGGGAATCATTTTTTGCGCTTGGGTCCATAAGTCTAAGTTACACCATTTAAATACATGGATATTTAGACTCATATATTAGAATATTGTTCTAATATAAAATATTCAAATTTCTGTGTTTTGGAATTTTTAAAATAAAGGGAACGGTTACATTTTTTACACATTTTTCTTGGCAAATTCAATTCTCCTCCAGGATTATTCTTGGCGAGTTGAAGTCACCCTACTGTGCTCTGATAGGCTAGTTGAATTTTCTGTGCTGCAGTCTGATTGGTCAAGTAAATTTACTCTTCTGCAATTCGATTGGTTATTTGAACTCTCAGTCCTGTAATGTTATTGACTCAGATCTGCAGTGTC